GCCGTTCGGGGAGAAAACATACAACCCCCCTTGTCTTGCGTCTTTCCCGGCAATCTGGTTGCGTTTTTTGGGTTCCCAGGGCCGTCATCACCGTACGGATACGGAGTAATGCTAAACCTCTTGAAAAGCTCGGACTTGGTTGGCTCGCGGTGATGTCAATCTGAAAATACGGAGTAACAGAGGCCTGAATAACGTTAAGGTAAGCAAAATTGTGCGGGCTGTAGGCAACTTGAAAAGTGGTCAGTCCGGCTAGTCGATTTGTCCTTCCATCAGGGGTGCAACTCGGATACAAAACCCAAGTGAATGAGGGGTCGTTGGCAAGTTACTTACAATCATGGTTCAAGATCCCATGTCCCGTACCCATGAAGCTCCAAACTTGGATCGCCAGGACTGTTTGCTGGGACACACAAGCCAATATCGTGTATTAATGTTGTCAGCGCCGTCTAGGCCAACGGGATATCCCTCGTCAACTTCAATTGACCACTTCAAGCAAGGGCCCGCCGTGGGACTTGGTGCATGGATGGGGCCATCGTGGTGCATCGTGGTGGTGGTGTGCTGCTGTTCGCATTGGACGAACCTAGCCTGGCACACTATCTTGCTCACATGCTTCATACAATGAATAAGAGGCGATCGCCTGGGTCTATTGGCATGTCAACCCACAGTGACTCACATCTCGACTGGAGCAACAGACACCAGCACACGTGTGCCATGTAAGCCTAGACAGATTAGTGAGCATTAGCCATGCAGCCCCAAACTGTGGGCGGCGATTCGGATTCGATCCGCCTGGCGGGATGCCATGCCGCTCTCATGCATGGCCGACTGGATTTCTCGGCATTCCTACAGTCGTTCTAGTTGGTTTTGACAGACAGCAGACATGGCTTTGGTTATTGATCTCATATCGATCCCACAGCCTCCCCGTCTGCATCTTTGTAGGGGATCTGAACCTTACGGGTATCCTGATCGCTTAACCCACATTCCGCGTCCATAACGGCGCTTATAAATGAGATCGTCAAATAGAAGTCGTAAGAATCCGTACTGTGTAGATTCAATAATCTTGCTGGTGCCTCGAGCAAGCGATCCGCGGGTGGCATGGCGACGCCCGCGTGTGGCCAAAATCCAAACAAGTGGTGCAAGCCTCTTCAGATATCCACAGAAGTCGAAACTGCATACCATCCATGATCAGTGTCCGCTAACAGAAACAGACCATGTAACCATGGCCCCGCCCTCGCTTCCACGAGTGAGTCTTCCGCAGCTGTGCTGACCATCAAACCTTAAAGGCGCCAATGACTTCGAAATCCCCCGATTCCATAACCGATTCATTGCATATTTCCGGGTGACAGGAAAAGGCGAGCTGAGCGAACTGGCGGGCGTCGGACGAAACTCCGAGGGCAGTCGATTCGACCGCCGTGTATGGTTTACTTGTACGGAGCACAGATACTCAAATGCGCGAGAAGATCTTCTGGTCCATCGTTCTGGATCGGCGAGTCATTCCGTCTTCCCGGTCGCCCACTTTGAGTATTTGTTGAACCCGCAACAAGCACGACGTGGCTTATCCATCTCCCAGACCGCCGCCCGTCGATAACTGACCGCTGCTGAACCATGTTGCCTTTTACTCCTCTCCTCACGTCTGACGTTGAGTCCCTCTTCTCAACCCCTCTTCACTGCGAAAAGAACGAGGCCCGCTCGCCTAGGTCCCAAGCAAGTATGCGGCTGCGCTATCCACAATAGGAAGATATGGCCGTCCCTTGTCAGGTCTGACGATATCTCACACGTTCGGACCTAGGTAGTCACCTTGCGGGGATGATGGACTAACACGACCATCCTCTCCTCGCCCTCTAAGCCCGGCCTGTCATGACGATCACGCCCCGAGTTTGCTTTCGCAAAGGTCAACAATTGATGAACGAATTTGAGGAACCTCGAGCAGAGCCGATTCTAGGATCACAGTTCAAAATACGGAGAGCTGCGGCCGGTGCTGTAGGCAAAGTGGTTGGTTGACAAGCTACTGCGTCCAGGCAGTCTGCATCAAGTCAAAATTGAACGACGTCGGGCCAGAAAGAACCTCCCTCCTCTCGCCATGGTCCCCCTCAAAGTGGCACCCCTATCGAGGCCGAGTTTCTAGCCCTAGCTATGATAACGGTCGTTAGCTGCAACTTGGATTGCAACCTGTACTAAGGCGTCCCGCCGTTCAGTGGCACTCGCCCATCGAGCCAATTTACCGATCAAGATCTTTTGCGTCGGCTTAAAATGAAGTAGATGTGTGTTTTCAAGCTGCGATTGTCCATATGCTGCGACGGTGCTTTTCATACTTTGCGACGGGGACTACTAGTCGACACCAATGTTACACAAGTGGCTCCCGGAGACTCGAGCGTTGACTTTTGCGACAAACGTCGTGTCCGTAGCGTGGTAATGACGAAGAACAATAAGAGAGTCGCAGCTATGACTGGGTCGCCAGCGGCCTATCCTTGCGGTATTCTATACAACAGAGGTAAGCTAGCTTATGCGAGAACAACATGATTCCACGATCCCTCAGTACATGAGATTCGGTGAAGAAAAGATGGAGAGGTTTTGCAGGAGAAAGCATGTCACCCCACCATCCAAAGTTTGAGTTTCCCGGGGCGCCGGCTCGTAACCCCCAGAGTTTCCGTGGTGCCGTCTTGAGCGAGCCGCCTCGTCCTACGCAGGAGATCGACATTTCACATGCGGGCCTCTTTCCCGTGTCCGAGAAGACTAAGAAACGAAAGGTCGGCCGATGCATTAGATTCCCATCGAGATGTAGGGAAAACGTGTCGACAGGGTTTCTATTAGTCTGCGCATCGGCAGTTGTGGATGTTTCGCCCGGCTGCCATCCCCAAAAGATGATAGAGGAAGGGAACAGATTATATCCCAAGCCGGGCAAACGCGCTTGTTCCGCGAACCTTGACTTCTTGTCAGTACATGTGCAGACAGTAAGGCAGCAGTGTGTAGCCTGGTACCTGGCTCAGGAGACAGCTCACACAGTGAATCTTTCAAGTTGATCTGCTTCTGGAGCTTTGAACGCATGGCTTAACCAGACCAAGTCAGTTCGTTGGTATCCAGGCCGTTGTTCGGCCATATCGCATGCGCGGCAAGACAGGAGATGGGGTTGTTGGTCATTTCTTTTCCATTCAGGTTGCCGGTCCATGTCGGGCTTTTGTAGCCAGGCGCGGTAGGCAGTGCGTATCTACGTGGTGCATCTGATCGAATATTCGCTCGGCAGGATTCTTCTCTCAATCCCACAACCCATTCCTTCCGTGATCTCTCGCGAGGCGAGAGTCTGTCTTAAGGTCGACAAGAGTCTCGCTACCATTTCGCAAAGCGGGAATAGAAGAACCGGTAAGCAAGCCAAATTCGGGCATGAGGGGTATCTTGAAAATAAAAAGGGACGCTTGATAAGACAGGTGTTCATCGTGATCTATCAAACGACTTCCGCTTGCCTCCTCGTCGCTGTGGGCAGTCGGCGGCCCTGTGCCCCGGCTTGTTGCAGTTGTGGCAGTTGAAGGGGGCGTTCGGTTTTCCTGCTCCGGAGAAGCCGCCTGTAGCACCCCCGGAGATAGATGCCAGCTTATTCAGCTTAACTTCCTTCTTCATTCTCTTCTCTCGGAATTCCTTGGCCTTCATAGACTCGCTTGACTTCTTCGCTTGGAGATTGACCCTTGTGCGCCCTTGGCCGCCAGACGCTAGGCCTTTGACAGCTTTCGGGGGTGTTTCAATCGAAGGCTCTTCGTCGCTTGAGGAGGAGGCTTCATCGTCGTCACTAGATCCATAACTGGAGTCGTCGGAGTCGCTCAAGCCATCGGAGTCGCTCGACTCGGGCTTCGTCTTTTTGGGTGTCTCCTTCTTGGCATTCTGGCATGAGTTAGCTAGGTTATAGCAAGATCCATGGTTTCGGCATTACCTTGGTAGCCTTCTTTTTGTTGCTTTCAATTTTCATCCTCCCAACCTGTGCGGTAGCTGTGGCTTCCTCCTCCCCGTCGGCAACATCGATATCCGCGTATCCTACATAGACGATGTTTGGCGGCGCATTTTCTGTCTCGGTAGACTTGCCCCAAGCACCATCAAGAACCCAGTGCGTGTCTGCAAGCTCTGCTCTAGACGCCTCCAAGGCCGACAAGCGCTTAGCTTCTTGTTGCTTCAGAGCCGCCTGAACGGCTGTTTGATCGAAGGAATGAAAGTCGCCGGAGAGGGGCGAGTTTTGGAACTTGCGCCGCTTAGATGAGGGCTCTTCGGGAGAAGGTTCCGGCGCAGCGTCCGAGGCAGCAGCTCTCTGCATGAACTTCATCGTCAACAGACGAGAGGAGATACCTCTACCCGGAGGTGTTTCGGGGACCATGTTGGTGCTTGGCGGCATCGCGACTGTTGCAATCTGAGACGAGGTTTACTACGATTAGTTGGAATACAAATGGACACAGTATGGCAATTCTAACTGTAGAACGAATGTTAGAGTCCAAGTAACGTGCTTTCGGGCTGTGCCGGGAGTCAAGAGAAGTATGGTGAAGTCAGGTTGGGCTGTGGTGCGCAAAAGTTGGAAAGAGCCAAAATTCTGGTATTTTGCCGTGGTACATGCAAATGCGCGGTCACACCGCCCACATCACTAGTCTGGTCCGTGCACATCTCTGAATGGGACCCCGCCGTGCCCGCTTGAACTTCCCCAAGTACGACCACATAAACCGACGGTAGTTGAGATTCTACTAATTTTCCTCGAAGACTGTACGCTGCCTTGACGTCAAGGCTCTGATTCTCATTAGTAACCTTCGTTCTTCTCTATTTAGCTTCCCATTCTCATATCTTCGACGCTTGGTTCCGTTGTTGTTCTTTCAATCTTTCGAGTCTCTCCGAGGTCATCTCAAAACACTCTGGTAATTCGGTATCCTGCCATGTTCCACCTAGAACCATCTTTGCAAGGCCCGCCGCACACGTAAAGATTCTCGCCATCCCTATGGAACCATTAAGTCAGATTAGGGATGGTTATCAGGAACGATCGATCACTCACCATGTCCATTGAAGCCGGCACACACCCATTGTCCCTGTGAGCCATCAACCCTCCCGATAAAGGGTACCAAGTCGGGCGTCATGCCAATGATACCCGTCCATGTGTGCTGCAGCCCCTCACCATGGCGCAAATTCTCTGGTCTACACTCTGGTAGACAGTCTTGGAAGTTAGCAACGGCATCGTCGCGGATCTCCGCGCTAAAATCGCTGTCGTCGGCCGTCTGTCTTTCTACATACGCCGTTTGACTGACTTTGGGGCTTGCCGAAGCGGATCCAAGGATAATGACGCCGTCTGAACGACGCTGATTGACCGAGTAGAACCAACGCAGGCCCCTACGCAGGGAGATGGTACTCTGCAGCACCTTGCTGCCGGTGAGAGCCGCAGGTGGTACGAAAGCATGTGCCTGCGCACGCTCTGGTGTGACGAGGGATGATAGCTGCGGCAGCAAGTGCGGTGCGAAGGCGTTGGTGCAGTGAATGACCACTGGCGTTGTTACGGTACCTCGTGGTGTCTTGACATCCCAGAGAATATGCTCTGCACCGGATGATGATTGTGTCACCGAAGTTGCTGGACAATGGGTCAAGAAATGCACGCCTTTGCAAACACATTCGGCCAGGAGCCATTGGGCCAGTTTGGCAGGATGGCCAGAACCCGCCGGCCACTCGTAGGCGCATAGGGCTTGCGGGACGCCGGTTCTTTCTCGAGCTTCCTCGGCAGGGTAGAACTTGATATGAGAGACATCGCCGCCAGCGCTCTGGTATGCCTTAAAGCTCTTTGCATTGTGATCTGCAAATTCCTGAGTTAGGCAAACGTCAAAGGTGGTTGTCGGGACAAAATCGAACTGGACGTTGTGCTTCCTCACGAAGTCGTCGACTGCGAGGAACACGGTCCTCTCGTTGGCGATGATTTTCAGGGCCTGCTCCTCGCCGTGGAATGATTTGTAGACCGTGAAACCGCGAAAGGCGTCTGGTCGAATATGTCCTGCATTGCGAGAGCTGGCACCACTGGCTGCTTCCCTTGCTTCGAGTATGACGATGTCTGATCCTGCTACACCACCCTCAACCAACTTAAAGGCTGCTAGTGCGCCAGATATTCCTGAGCCGATAATGACATATTTCGCGGTTTTTGGTACGAGAGCTTCATCGTTGTGATTAAGGTAGGGATATGATCTGGTCGTCTGTTGCCAGAACGAGATACAGGGATCGGTAACAGGAAGACCAGTCATCCTGAGTTGACTCACGAGAGCAAGCAAGCTTGGTTGACTTTGCCGAGCATATATCGATACCCGCGTACGCAACAGCTCTCCTTATCAAGATAAATTCATCATGAGCGGACAGCCTCCGCTGGTAGTTAGACACCTCTCCTCGGCTTTGTAAAACCGGTGAAAGATGTCGGCGAGTTGACCACCTTGGGCGAGATAAGCCTGGCGATAGCTATGATTCAATCTTTGCTCAAACTTGAGAGGTGTTGTCTATGGTAATCTGTCGGGTACATGCAGGTGGGGACGAAGTCGGAGGCCCTTCCAATCCTCTGGCGGCGAACATCGCTCCGCTCCCGCACTGATGGGACCACAACCTCTCAACCCACTTCATGTCTCGAACCGGATACGGCAACTGGATGCATCAGCTACTGCAACTAGATGCGCACAGTTACCATGTTTTGTTTTGTTTTCTGTGATACAATCACGGTATTCCGATCTACCTTATGACGAGAGCTTGGAAACCTTGAAGACCGATCACAGGACGTATTACATGATGAGTACATAAGTCGTTGCGTTAGGTATTTGTCTCTCTCAAAAGCATTTGCCTGCCCCAAGTTGGCAAAGTCCAATAGGGAGGAAGTTGAGAGAAGCAATTTAGGTAACAAGAGGCAAAACTGGGTTGACTGCTTATCAGCTTACCAGCCCTGGAGTATCTGCGGTCGTCGGAGGACCCGCCGCTCATCGGGCGGCCAAGACCGCTCCAATAAGACTTCGGCCCGCGTTTGTGCACCGGCATCCCTCCCCCTCTTTCCCGAACCTATCTCCAGGTCCCAGCAACGCTGCAACGTCTGCCTATCAGGTGATAACGGAACTTCTGCAATTTGAGCCGGGGTCGGGGTTTTGACCGCGAGATAGACGGCTTTCAAAAAACATGGGGTAATATCGTACCGGGAAACCTTCCCTGTTTTATCTGGAAAACGCATTCCGTTGGGCTGAGCAGAGAGAGATGTGACGATCCACGCCTTATATAGACCTGGCGGGAGAAAATTGCGCCTGCCATCATGCACTGGTTTTCTCCCTTGTGATTCCCTCCATTCAAAGACATTGGAAATCTTTGAACAGCCAATCGACAACATGATTTTTGGCAGCCTTGCCTTCGCGGCACGCCATGAGCGAACGCCCGAGGAGAGGAAGCTCGTTAGGAGATTGGACATATTCTTGATGACTTTCGGTTGCATTTCCCAGGGTGAATAGTCATGAAGATCCTTCGTGTATGCGACTCAAGCTAATCCATTTCTCTAGTCATCAAATGTAAGTGACAGAGCAACCCGAGTTCAAGAGTAGTGGGCGGTCTGGTTAATGTTGGTATTAAGACCTCGACCAGACGAACATCAGCAACGCGTACGTCTCTGGCATGAAAGAGGACCTCAACCTCTACGGCAATGAGCTCAACTAGTACGTCCTACTCCCGATCGTAACCTTTTCAGGACTCCCAACGCCAACCAGCCTCTCATCTCAGCTTCACAACGTACTTCAATGTCGCCTACTGCATCATGCTTATTCCCTCCCAAGTCATCCTGACATATGTGCGACCGAGCTACTGGCTCTCTGGCCTCGAGGTCCTATGGGGCATAATCACAGGCATGATCGCCCTCACCAAGAACGCGCAACAAGTCTACGCGCTCCGCGTCCTGCTCGGTCTCTGCGAGAGTAGCGCCTGGCCCGGCATGATGACGCTGCTGATGCACTGGTACACCCCGTCCGAGTTAGCCAAGCGCATGGGATTCTATCACTCGTGTCAGGCGGTGGGCTCCATGATGTCGGGCGCGCTGCAAGTTGCCATTAGGAGCTCCATGCATGGCCTACACGGCATGGCCGGGTGGCGCTGGCTTTTCGTCGTGAATGCCATCATGACCGTATGTGTCGGCGCTGCGGGCTTCTTTCTTCTTCCCGATACACCTAATAACCCTAACCCGCGCGCGTTTTGGTTCAAAAAGGGACACGCCGAGCTTGCAATGGAGCGGTTGGAGCGCCATGGCAAAGCAGAGCCCAAGAAGATGACATGGGCCGCTGCCAGGTTCGATGATCCCCTGATGCTCATTTTCTCCCAGTGACAGACAGCTAACCGGGACCAGGCGGGCATTCAAGAGTTGGGTAATCTACTTCGTACCCGTCCTGTACATTGCGACTGTCCTCTTATCGTATGGCAACAACTACTTCGGCCTGTTCCTGAAGGCCTTGAAGAATCCGGATGGAACCCCCAGATGGTCGACGTCCGAGGTAAATGCCATTCCCATTGGTGGAAGTGCCATTAATGTGGTTTTCGGTATGTGTGAAATTCTTTGGGATTCGTGGGAAGGCCCGAGACTAACATCAGTTATAGTCTGGATCTGGGCAATTTTGTCAGACTTGTTCATGACACGATGGACTCTCATTGTTGTTCAGGGTAAGCATCACCTCACAAACACCTACTAAGACACACCTAATCTGACGACTTACACAGCTGTAATTGGCATTGCATGCTGCATCGCGATGAGCGTCTGGTCCTCGCACCCAACTACGACACCGCTCGCCACAGCCTACGCGTCCAACTTCATCCTCTTCACGGCAATGGGAACAGCGCCTCTCATTTTCGCATGGCTGGCCGACATTCTACCCCATGACCCCGAGGCGCGGACTCTCATCGTCGGAGTTGCTATTGCGGGATACTATGCCATCTCCGCTTGGTCGCAGGTTCTAGTATGGCCGGCCACTCAGGCACCGTATTGTAAGTCTATAGGCCCAAATGCACGACGAGTATAGCTCTGACCATAAACAGACAAGTACGCATGGCAGTCAGCTATTGCCATCGGAGTCCTCGTCATTATTATGACGTGTGTGCTTCGTTACATTGATGCAAAGCATCTCGAGTAGGTTCACCCACCTATTCGATACCCAAGACAGCTTCTAACGACTCATGTAGGCCCAAGAGAGAGCAGTTTAGAGCTACTATAATTGAGGCCGCCGAGGCGGGTGATAGGGACGCAGCCGATTCGATTGCTCGCGATTCCGTCGACCGGAAAGTGAAGTCAGCTGCTATTGTGCCGGAAGTCTGAGTTCGCGTCACTGCCCGGGCTCAGGTATACTCTAGACACTGGTACCCCTAGTTGTCTTGATGAATGTTGACTTCTGCACTTTGATACTTGTAATCGCGAATGTATATGGAGTGATCGAATATTAGAGATAGACTCTAGCACATTTGAAGCCTTTGATCTTCTCCACAGCAGTCAACTCATCAATCACACCCATTTCTGAAATGACTGGCCAGCTCGTTGCGCATAAGGTATCAAAGTCGATGTAGCTCGTTTCCTCCGGGGCCAGCGCTTGTACGACAGCTTGTCACGGGCAGCCGCGGGCGGTAATATGGAGACTCGAAGCACGGAATGACTACCCAACTAATGCTCGTGATTTTCCCCCTTTGGACCCCAGTGTTGGAAGCTATCACACTCATCCCATTGGATCTGCCTCGAATCCAGACTACCTACTGTGTCCACTTAAATCATCAAAGACAGAAGGTGGATTTCCTATTTATTTATTTATTTAGAATATGAACTTAAACTCATCTTGTTCTACTTGGGCTGTCCTGGGGTACTTCACCTGCAGTACTTCAACCCAATCGTATACATAATTCCCTGTCAGATCGGTCAACTATGGACATCCCCTCTTGTTTCCTTTTGCCTAGTATGGCCATTCGTGTTAATTTCTCAAAGAGCTCAACTTGCGAAAGGTCGAAGGCAGTCATCTTCTCAAAGCGCGTTCTCAGTACCTGAGGCGCGATGTTCTGAATTGATGAAACTATGGGTGTGGAAAGCTCCCTGTAAACATAGCTGCCATAAACAAAGATTGAACGTCGGTTTTCCAGTCGCGAACCTGCGGCCGATCGTTGGGGACTATACGGGGAGAAGAACAAGACGAACCTCAAGTTATACGATGCCTATTTTTTCAACGGTCAAAGTCGCCTCAAGGTGTATGCAAAAGTTCATCGACATCGTCACACAGCAATGCTTAAGAGTACACCAACACCCAAGCAACACGTTGCAGACCGACAAAAAGGAAAAAAGGGAAGGGATGGTGATAACTGACCTTATAATTCATGCCCCTGCCCAGATTCGAACGGCGCGCCCCTCAGTCAACCCAGACTCTGACTTCATTGGAGTATTTGTTTACTTAACCACTCGATCACCTCGCACACAGCTTGACCTGACCTCGCCAACCTAGACGGGCGCTGCTGTGCTGGTAGCAGGAATGGTGATTAGACCCCTCAAGTAGGTAGACACGTCACCTGGACAATCGCCTCGCGGAAGGAGGAGCGTACACGCGGGAAGATACGAGGCAGGTGTCGGTAGAGGGGTATTGATTGCCAGGTACACTTCTCACGCTACAGGATGACCACGCAGGTTCTCCGACTTTATGACACAGCGGGAACCCATGCTTCCGTCACAGAGACTGACTGCAATCTGAGATACTAGATTTTACCTCTGAATATGGTCGTCATGCGGCGTTAAGGTACTTAAGATGTGTCCATCTCTGGTCCTCAGGGGGGAATCAAGAAAGAAAATATAGAGCGTATGCCCCCCCAGGACTTTCGGGGTCTCTATTCAGGCCCTGAGGTCACTCTGTTGACTGAAAATGCGGGCAGATCAGCTCGTGGCTTTCTTCTGATGCTACAGCCGTCCTTTGTAGTCGAGGTAACGAGCAGCTATAAACTATCCATAGTTTAGCATCGAGCGGGTCAACACCTGAATCTGCCTCGAGAATGCCGACATAGTCATCAGCTAACAGAATAAGGAAGAGAAATGGTAAATACATTGAGAAATTACTACTAGTATGATGCTTTGAGCTATTACAGACATCCACAGCTATCCTAGGCCTAATAGGATTTCTCCTAATTTGTTCTAGAGGCTTAGGGCGTTGCGAAAACTATTTGAAACCCATATTCAACTACTGAAATAATACGGTGTATGCTAGAATGCGGGGATAATGGT